TTTTTTTTTTTAGGCTGTTCTGGGTTTGGATTTTAAGTTCTGTTGCATTTATGATTCAATGAAACAAAATAAACAAATTTAAAAGGTAACGATCATTGTAATACTTTGTTTATTTAGCATATTAGCGCGTGTCTGATTTGCATGTTGCTAGCTTAGCGCTGTTTCATTTTTTGCCAAGCTCTCTAAAGTTGTTAATGAATCAAGTGTACGTAAACGGAGATGTTTAACAACGTATTAAAATACACCAGAATGCAGGATATTGCATCAGATTCCCCCACCCCACCCCCACCAGTGTGTCCCCCACACTTAAAAAAAAAAATGCTTCTGACAACAATAGCCACCATGTTGTTCAAGCCAAGAGCCTCTGTCAACACTGGGGGGCTAAGCACCCCTAAAGGTCAGATTCTAGAATCGCCCCTGTGATGAGATCTACACAAAAACACAAAGGTAAATAGTTGTGTCTCATTAAAAGCACAACGGCATTTATTTTTTAAATAATCACTGCATTACTTGGGTTATACATAAAAAATCCTCACCAACATATTTTAAAACAGGATTTTACCAGATCAGATTATTTAGGTCTGAGTCACAGTACGATTACCACTAGCTTTTTATTAATGATACATTAAAGTGATCAACTTACAATTTTAAGCCTGTTTTTTTGTTTTGTTTTAGCGTCCCAGATGTGTTAGAGTCTTCGGTGGAAAACCAGGTGAATGTAAACAATAAGATTAGGCAACTGCAATGCTTGCATCAACATCACCGAGTGTCCTCCTGGGAGGAGCCAGAAACTAATCCATGACTCAGAGCTTCTGGGGAGCGTTTGGGAAACATCTTCACGTGAGCAATTGATTTCTACAGTGATTTACCGAAACAGAAGACATGACTAATAATTGTGAAAATGAATAACTGAATGATAATCATATTGTTTAAATAAGAAGTAAGTGTCAACATAAATTTATATAGTTATGCACATATGTCCAATCATGGCCTTATTTCTATTTTTAAAGCTATAATAGTGACCTACGTACATACAGCACTGCTGCAAAGGTGGATCAGCCGTATTGGTTTTCTACTTAGTGAAAAATTGCCTTTGAATAAATGTTAAGCCTCAAATCAGTCACAGATTATGGTTAATGGAAGCTATCTGTGCAAAGACGCCGGCATGTCTTGTGCAAACATCGCCCACAGCTCAGGGTCAATGACTGTTCAGAGCCGTTCACTCCGTGTACTGGAGGTAAAATAGATCTAGGAAATCAACTTTGTACCAGAAGTACGGCTGAATAATAAGCAATGAATTGTATGTTGTCTCTTAAAAATATTGTTATGTTGTAATTTCAGACTGGTACCAAAATCACTTGTGTTATTTTTCTTTTGGACCCCCTGTACCTTCAGCTTCCTCTCACAGTACAAAGACCACTAGGTTGATTGTGATTCTTCAAAATATCAACCTGTCAGTTTAAACTCAATTTCACATATGCCTCAATAGTATAAACCAGTTAATTTATGTAAAATAAAACTGTAATTATATAATTAAATGCATATGTCGAGGAAATGTGTATATATGCATGCACCATGCTCTATTATTTTATTTTATCAATAACATTTTGTAGCTTCTACTGTCATTGTTTTCTGAATGTGCTATAAAGAATCCTCGAGAAATGTTAACCTCCAGCGGCTCCCTCTTCTGTCTGACGGAGGGGCCCCCTGATAAGTTTCTACAAAACTAATCTTTTCTGCTCCTGCCAAGGCACAGCAAGCATTAAAAGTTCTGTACTTGTAATGTTTTCACTTCATGTTTTCTGATCGTTTCTCTACGAAGCTTTGTGTGACTGACTTTGATCAAATTTACACCTGATTGTTTGTGAATCCATTTTTTTCTACAACAAACACATGCTATAATCTCAACCATAAAAAATGAGAACCTAACAAATCAAAAGGCAACTAGACATTTCCGTGTATTTATACAACAGTATGAGTTAAATTATGTATTTGATTGACAGTTTGAAGAGTCTGAACAGGTTCATGCTATTTCATTCAAAAGCCCAAAAATGAAGGTGATGGGAGAGGAAAGATATTTCAATTTTTTCATCTTTAACTTTTTTTTTTTTTGCATAGAATGCAAATATAAAACAAAGGCAATATATTAAAGTGTTGCACTTGAATATATTAGCTACTTTTATTTATTGTCAAATTACTCAATATATATATGATGCTAAAACTAATTTTGTTTGTTTAATACCGGAATAATTTGAAGTGAAAACTTGTTGCACATACAGTTGTTTATGCTGCAGGTCATATGAGTCTTAAAATCTTAAAAATGATTTGTATTGCTATTTAACAGGTTAAAAAAAGACTGATAGGAATATTTTTTCGCCTCCAACTCCTACATGTGTCCAGTTAACTACTGTTTTTGTCTGTCCAAACAGGTTTCACTTGTAAATGAATCTTTGAGGCTCAATGTGATTTATCTTTTTAAGTAAAGGTTGAATGAACGGAAAAAAAAAATTGCAATTTTTCACAGTATGAGAAACCTAAAGGCATTTGTCCAATGTGATGTTTAGTTCACAAAATATGCATACATAAAAACATTGAAAAATAAATCTCGAGAGCCAAAAGAAGGAACTCACTTCTTGCTGCTGGTCTGTTTGCCCTGCGCAGTGCAGCTATAATTTCCGAGCTGCAAACCGAAGCGAAGCGACAAGGCCGTGTCACAGTCGTCAACGCTCACCACGGCTATCTTCTCGTCTGACGGACCTTGCGCTTCTCCAATCATGCTGCGTTTTGGCTGAATACACAAACACACACACACACACACAAGATTGAATATATAACCCAACCAGCAGAAAACCAGAAAGAACATGAGGAAAAAACAGCATGCAGGAGCTAGAGCAATAGTTTACTAAATAAAACATTTGTGTGGTTTTGCACTACATCAGGAACGACTTCACCTCACAGAACTGCATCTACTGTGCTACTATACAAAATGTTAATAGAAAAGAAGGAGATTTTGAGTTAGTCTGTCAAGTAATAAACACCTTAAATAGTAAAGAGAAGAGTACAAACAAGTATAGGCTTCTCATGGTTTTTCGGTTAAAGAACGACAAGAGAGAAAAAGGAGAAAGTGGGAACTACGCAGGAAAAAAAAGCTGTTTGTACACCCTGACACACATTCATACTCACATAGCGTGTAGCTGGCTGAGGAAAATGAAAAAAAAAAAGTGAAGAAAATTAAAGGAGATGTGCAGCGAATATGCATGAATCTAATGGGGACAGGCAAACACCCACATAATTACAAACACATCATCTCAAATCAAAGTGCTTCGCCTGCACGAAAAGCACAAAACTTTTTGCTGAAGCACCAGAAGCACATGAACAAAACAAAATAAAGCAAATTATTACAACTAAAATTACTTTAAGGCCTTTAATGATACACCATCAGACAAACAGAGTTTAATTTGAGCTATAGATCCTGCTGTAACAGGATCCAGGAACTCTCTTATTTTGACAGAGTGAGTTACAGTAACTGTTTGCTTGGATCCGGTAACTCTCAAGCTTACTAAAAATGTAACTGTCTTAAACAAATAAAACTTATATTGGATATGTAAAATGAAAATAATTACATAAACACTCATTTTAAACACAACAGTCACTTACGAGCTTCTTAATGTCACATAAGAGCTGCCCGTTCAAGTAAGAATTTCTGCTTCTACCCTTAAAAAAAATCTCTGCCCCTAAAGGAGTGATGGGGGTGAGTGCCAAGCTAACCAGGCAGTTGTACGTGGGCAGAAGCCCACAGATAACCGTCATGAGCAGACGGAGGAGGCACCTGGAGGTTTCAAATGTGGAGTCGGACAACAATGAGTAGAACAGTGAATTCAGCGAAGAAGGGTCGTGCTCAGAATCGTCAAGTAAGGGAGAGGAGGGGGAGGATACTTGACAGAAGCGGTGTGTATATAAATGTAACCAAAGATGTTTAACAACTTGTTAAAATACACCAAAATGCAGGAAATCGCATCTACTTTATTCAAATTTTTCAAGGGGAGGACCCCTCCCCCCACCCCTGGCCTTGTTTGTGTTCTGGCATCGATCAGTTAAAAAATTAAGCCCTGCAGACAACCAACAGAGGTCTAATGATTTATTCTTCTTCTTTTGGCTGCTCCTTTCTTCAGGGTTCACCACAGCAAACTAACTTGCAGAAAGACTTGACAATTGGTTTGACACCAGATGCTCTTCCTGATGTAACCACAGACCGCCGAGCTACCACAGCCCTCTGTGTGGAGCAGAGAGCTGCCATTTAGGGCATCCAGGGAAGCAGATGGTGGGGGTTAAGGGTTTTGCTCAAGGGCCCAGAGTGGGGCAAATGAGGGTGGAGGCAGGTGGAGGTGTTTCATCTTTCCCACCCACATTTTGATGTTGTCGGTCCGGGGAGTTGAACCGGCAACCTTCCGATCATATGCTCACCTTCTCGAACCTCTGCGCCACCACTCCCCCATTGAGGTCTAACAAAGGATAATGAGTGAAAACAGTGTAATGATGTGCAGGAGACCCACCTTGTTGTAGTAATGGATGTGAACCGTGTGCCAGTTTCCATCGCTCACCCCGCCGAGCACGAAGGGGCTCACCTGAGTGGACGACTCGCCTGCAGGTGGATGAAGGAAGCTTGGGTGAAAACAATAATTTGAACTCATACAAGCACAATTTTTGTACTTGCTTTTCTTCTTCAGTCTCTAGAAGAAATAATACCCAATTCCTACGCTCTCATACACGAAAATAAAAGAAATACCCTGAACTTCATCCATCCTTGTTATTATGTTTGGCATGACTGCTGGTATTTACTCCCTGAGGGTGCAAGTAGAAGGATAACTAGATATTATCTCCCCTGGAAAGAAATGTGTTTTCACAGTCTGCCCATGTCCACAGCGCAAGAAAAACATACAACTACATGAAAGCAATACAGTGGACATATGGGCTATGATCATACTCCCATTAGGTTTCCTTGAGGGAATATGAATAAAAAATATATTTAAAAAAAAACAGAAAAAGCAGAGTCACGGACTAATCTCGTGTTTGTCTGTTACAAATCTTGCTGTACCTGTGGAATACTTGAACACCACTTGTCCCTCTTGGATCTCCAAGGCAATAAAGTCATGCTTCTCATTGAAGCGGCCATTGTAGAAGAGAAGGCCACTTTTTTCCAGGGTGGCAAAACTAGATCATTTAAACACACAAAAACAAGTTTATATAATAGTTTAAATTAAATAAAAAAGTTTAAATAATCAAATACAGTTTAATTTAGGCAGATGTTTAGATATTTTATAAACAGAAATGATTGAATAAAACCTTTTCAGATCAGAGTTTGGTTTGATTGAGACAGCATTTCAATAAACCTGATGCAGAAAATCATACAAATAGAAACTGACAGGACTGATGGTTGTGGGTGGATGAAAAAGTGCATTGAGCATCCAAGATTTTCCCCTTGTAACAAAGAAAAAGAAATAAAAAAAAATTGCAAAAAAGTTATATCTTAAGTTTTAAAGTTTTGCATAAAAGATCTCAAAAACATAAAAAAGGTTTAAATTTACTACTGTAAGTTCATTGAAAGGAAATGCTCTTTCTCTGTCTTATTCTACTACCATGAGTTGAATACTATAAATGTGGACTTGTATATTTACTGATAAGATGCCACAGTATTACTTTTTATTGCAAGGCAGTCTTGTGATTTCAGGATAATTTCATTGCCTAGGGTAGTTCAGTTGCAGTTCTATATCATCGAGCTCTATATGCCACCAGCAATTGATTCAAAAGACAATAATTTGAGTTTTGTTTATGCAGATTAGTCAACACATCACATGCACTGAAGCTGAAAGGTAAAATAAATGCAAAGCAGCATACGTTGTATGTTCTCCATGGCTGTTAATAATATTTGAAATCCATGCTAAAATGAAGTGACTTGTTCCCAAAAGCAATAAAACTGCATCAGTAAATATTATGTGTTCATTAGAGGTTTTATTCCTCAAACTCCTTCGGCTCAGCAGCCAGTGACAGTTTCCAGCACAGCTGAAGAAATGAGAAGTTTCTGTAATAAAGAGAACACCATCATCCAGCTGCCCTGGAAATACACTTCTACTTCAAGCTGAAGTATTTTATTTTTATTTTATCATCCAGCTGAGCAATATTACTAATGTTTTCACAGTCAACTTGGGGCTGCACAGGCGCAAGCCCTTTCTTCCAGTGTGGTAAGTCCCTATCAGCCGAGGCTTAATAAACAAATATCCAAATAAAAAGTAATCAGAAGAGACGTCTGTCAGTCAAAAGTGGCCTCTAATCTTAGGCCCCACTGTCACAGTCCAATAATTTGAACTTAATTGTACCCTTCAGTGGTTAAGTTTCATGCACTTTTTTTTTATTTCACAGCAAAGACCACAATTATAGTATTTATTTATTATTTTGTAGAAGTCATTTTGAGGCAAACAAACCATACACTTAGCGTTTGACAGCATCTCTGCATTTCTTAAGCACTCGTTGATTGCAATTGTTAAAAGAGCCGAGAATCCAATAACTTCAGTCGGGCAAATTTTCCAAAACCCTTTGTGTTTTAACCTTGCAACAACCACCGTCAACAGGAACATTTGCAAACATGGTCATTCTTGGGGAGTAATGCTAACAGAGCTGTTTAAAAGCTCAATAATTGAAGTTGACAAAGAAACCCTCTTTAACCTTTCACTTCATTCCTTGACGAATCGCAGCTACACCAACAGTGACCGCAAATCAATGGAACAAGTCTTGGGGAGTGCCAACAATACTCAGTTCGACCGGACCACCATGACCAGATGTCTGACAGAAACCACTCATAGAGGCCACACCAGCCTAGCAACCACCCCCTATGAGCGACATCACCTTAGCAACTACCTGTAAATGACATTACCCATAGCAACCATCCCATAATCCTGTCTGATCGCACTTAAGTGCCACTAGAGATCTCCTTTAGGCAACCACTCGTTATGTTGAGGCGAAGGAGCAGCAGGGAAACGATGCAGGGTGGATGAGTGAGACAAAGAACAAAAAGTAAGGGGATAATCTGAGCTATGATATATCATAACCATTAAAGTTATATTATAAAAGTGAACAAAATATTTGACAATGTGCATAGGTTTAAAATCAAAATTGTAAAAATTACAATAATGTATAAAAATGGTTCCAAGTAGTATAAGAGCTTTAATAATTTGGGGAAACTTGATTTTGAGCAACAACGTTCCTGGTTTAAGGAACTAAATTAGAATTTTTAATGTGAGACCGAAAGTGGGTTTAATGTAAGATGAGAACGTTGAGTGAAAAGAGTGAGACGGCCAAGGGGATGTTACTGGAACCAGTATATTGACAGATGAAAGAGGAGAACACGGAGAAACTGCACTTCTCTAAAGAGAAAGGTGGAGGCTGCGTAGAAGAAACTATGAGTGATAGGATCGATCTCACACAGAGATGAAATAAATAGATTAAAGCAACGACACTCGATAACAGAGCTGAGAATCAAAGAGGAATGATTATGGATCTCTGTCTGAGTGAGGCTTAATGATGAGAGATAGATGTCAAAAAAGAAAGAAAGGAAGATTCAAATGTACAAACAAAACTTTAATTAAGTAAAGTTTAATTACTTGTAACCACAGAGATTTTAGAGAAGAAAAAGAGGACAAGCAAGGAAACTTCTTGTTCTACTCACGTCAGTGAGATGGAGAGATGAAATCTCTGCCGGAGGCCCCGGAACATGACAAAGGACTTGGGTTGGAAGGTCCTGGCAGTGACAGTGCAGTACGGACGCTCATAACCTCCTGCAGGACACTCGCAGCGGAAACCCCCACCGGAAAGCTCCCGGCATGTCCCTCCGTTACGACACACACCTGGCATACACCTGCCCTGCCTCCAGTCAAACTCACATCTGTCTCCTGAAGAAAAAAACAAAAAACAGATCAGCCTCTGTCCAGATGAAACAAGAAACTGTCACAATACTGTCACACTTAATTGATTACTCAGGAGTCAGTCCATACAGGACTGAGTGAGCTGTAAGTTGTCTGAAGAATTTTTATTTTCGCCCATTAACACTTTGAAACAATGAAGTATATTTATGTGATAACAAAATTCTCAGATATATGGGAATTTACCTCAACGTTTTTTTTTTTACACCAGTTAAGAATCAGCTCTAACATCACTTCTTGTGTGGCACTGGACCCTCTTTAATGGAAAGCTTGTTATTTTTCTTTCTGGTACTACAGCCCATTCCGTTGTGCGATGGTGGATGCAGCACTGAGCTGCATTCTGGAAAGCACTGAATCCAAAACTAAAAATGTTTAAAATAACTTAAGTTTTTATAGATTGCGAGAAGACCATGAATATAGAAGTTTCTGTGTGCATGTCTACAGGACAAAAGGGTATAAAGTTGGAAGAAAGCATGCTCCTGCTGACTTTGAGTCTGCCGCTTTGGAAAAAGATGGAAAATTCAAAAACAACACGAACAAATCAACAGACAAAAATAAACTGGCTGCCAGTCAAACAAACGCCAGTCTGGAGCGTCTCGAGAGTCTGAAACACCCACACAGCAAACATAAAAAGCTTATACAGGGATATGTGTTTACTTTCTCTCCACCTATCCTTAAGCGTATTTTGGACACACAGACTGTCAAACATTCAGCAGCTGCACACAAAGCACACCCACACCCAGTGCCCTCCATACAGCCGGAGCAGACGGGGTTTGTAAGTAGCCTAAAGACAGATGGCTCCTTGCGGACCCACTTTAGAACCTGCTGATGGCCTAAAAGAAATGCACACAGACGCACAGTAAGACCCCAAAATAACAAACCAAAATGCGAACGCATCAATAATTAATGAAATGCAGACATTTTTTTAATCCAAAAAAGGCACAAACTCACATTTAAGCTCATATTTCTCTCTCTAAAACACACGCACTAACACATGCATGGATCATTGCCCCTGCCCTCGAGGCTGTGGGGTTTGATCGTGTAACTGTCTAGGCTGGCACTTTGTTTGCGCTGCTTTTAGATGCCAAAGAACCCACTGGCAGAGCGACCTCACATCTTGACAGTGGCACACACTCACAAACAAAGGACTGCAGCTGTGAGTCAATAACGGTCCTCACCTTTCCTCATGATCAGCTGGATGAAAATATCATCTGACATTCAAGACATGGACACATGCAGACGATCACGGCTGAAACAAACAGACACTGTTGGGCAAATCATGTCCGTCGATAAAAAGACATGCACAGAAACGCACTGACAGAAAAGCTGTAAAAGCGCACCCAGTCATGTCTGATTCATGTGTTGACACCAAGTCATTGTGACACACAAGAAGCTAAATGACAGCGCTACTTCTAAACTTGCAAAGATGTAAAGCTTGCGCAAGAAACAAAAGGAAGCGTGTCAAGGGTGTGGATTGTGACGATGACAAAAATGAATTATTTTAATGTTAATGACCTCCTTACAAAAGGCAGAACCCTGGTATGGAAGGGCAGCATCCAGACAATTTACAGCAAGAACCAAACAGAAAAGTAACATACGAGCAGCACTGAAAGTCAAGTTTGGAACTTCGACTTCTATGAAGTACAAAAGAAAAAATTATGTGGACAGGAGCCACTTTATACCATATTTTTCACTCTATAAGTCGTGGGTTTTTTTTTTGCATAATTTGCATGTCCTGCGAACTTATATGCTGAAGCGACATATTTATGTTTTTGTTCCCATATTTACAGTATAAACCAATTTTTGGCTGAAATATGTTTCATTCAGTCTGACTGAAAATATTGAACACTTAACATTTTCAGCTGCTAGATGGCACTCAAGTAGTATGGCATGCCATTGTGGCATGTAATGAGTAAAAGTGGCTATTAATGGCAGAATCAGCTTGCCATAGCCTGCCACCTTTGTCCAGCTTGCTTGGAGCAACCGTCAAATCAGCTTCATTTCGCTGCATCGCCCCGGCAAAATGCAACTAATTTGACCATTGAAGTGCCTTTATTATGTAACCTTGTCCAGATAGACAAGATGTGAAAGATCTTTTTTTGTAATACCACTATCTACCCTCATGTTTCTCCCCATTTTCCTATAAGATTATTATCTGATAAGGATAAGAAGGCCGCGCTTTCTATAGTTGCAGCTTCGTGCACTCTGTCCATCTTTCGGACGACTGCACGTACATATTCGTGTTGTATCTCGGTGCAAGGCCAATAAAGTTTATTCTGATTCTGATTAAGTAAAAGTTCAACTGAGACACACATTTACTATAATGTCGAACAAGCATATCATTGTTTTAGGTGCTTATCTTGTTAAATTTCCAAGAAATGCGCAGTGTTCCTCCTTCCTGATTTCCTCCCTGTCTGCATGCTCCCGGAGCACCGAGGCAGCGAATACTTTTGAAATGCAGCTGATTTGACCGTCAAAGTGCATTTATTAAGTAAAAGTTTGGCTGAGACACACTTTTACTATAATTTTGAGCAAACAAATAATTGTTTTTAAGTGTTAATCTTGTTAAGTTCTTGTTAAAGTCCTCCCATGCACGTTCCCGCAGCCGCCATTTTGCAGCCAATTAATTTTTGGCACAACACCGGTCCACATTTCCGGGTTGTCAGAGGTGACACATAATAGATGTGACGTATATGGCAAAGCAACATATTTATGGATTTTTCCACTTTATTAGACATATTTGGACTGATGTGACTTATAGGGTGGTGCAATGTGTACGGCGGAAAATACGGTATGTATGCAAACTATGTATGGAGGAGGAGAAAAACTGTTGATCATTACTGTCATTTCTAAATGTAGTATCTCACTGGGTTTCAACTGGTGGTGTCTAGGTTGCAAACACCAGGCAGTCACAATGGAGTCTTCAGAATGTATCAACATTTGGAGCATGATATGATGTGGGCAACAAAATGAAGTCTGCAATTTAGAATACAGTAAACAGACTGTTGTTTTCTAAACCTAGCCATGCAAAACACAGCCGCTGGTCACTTGGTCGCAAACATAAATAAATTTGCTTATTTTCTTGCACTTTCGAATGGCAATTTAATCTCCCAGAGTTAAAGCAAAGTGAGACAGTACCATATATTGCACCCTAAGGAGGCGCGATAGAACGCAGCCATTCCCAGACTCTACAACGTGTCCAAAAACAAAGTCCTCTGAATCACAACTGGCTTGTAAAGTTGCTAAAGGTTCCCACCTCTGAAGCAGGTCTTCATTTGTTCTTTTCAACATTCATCTGATTTCGTCCTTCAGTAATCTCGTTAGCTCTTTTACTATAAATCCAGTCAATTTCCTATTCATAATTCTAATTTCTCCATATTCTCACTCTGTCATTTATTCATTTGTCCATCCTGCTTTTTATCATTCTGCTTCCTTACATCACCTTCTTAATTGTGCCCTTAGGCAGCCCATTTCTTCAGTGATTTAGTTGACAAACACACTCTTTCTCACCACCGCATCACCCTGAGGATGCACTCACACCGACACTCTGTCAGACACCCAGCTCAACTAACAATAGCCCAAGGACATTTAAATTATTACATCTGTCTGTGTGTGTTTGGCTTTCTTTCATCTCATCACCTGCTTTACTTTAAGCATATACTCCTCTCTGTAAGTGCACTCCACAGGCAGTCAATAAAACAAAGAAATAATACACACACACGATCAGATGCACACAAACTAACACAAAGCTATATTTCTGTCATTGTCTGCTGAAACCACTCATCCAAATAGACCCTTTCATTAATATTAAAATGAATAAACAGGCATTATTACTCATGAATTATGCGTGTGCTGAGACCTTATTGCAGACACCTACAAACAGAGCCACATAAACTCACCTACACACACACAGCTGGTTTATTATGCACAAATGTACAGCTCAAGATGACAGACTGGAAAATAAAAAAAATGTCCAAAAGAAAACAAACAACAACAATGCATATGCACAATATCAAAAATAGAAAAAGGGAAATGTGAAAACAGTGGCGTATAAATCCACTAATAGAAATGCACCTACTCTGTATGCAGGAAGTAAAACAGAGCTGGAATGATCTCAGCCTCACTCAGCAATGATGTTTTTATTTCTTGCCTTTTTATTGTTCAAGTGTGAACTTCACTGATACATTACTCAGATCTATAGTAACGAGACAAAACCAGAATAGAATAGAATAGAATAGAATAGAATAGAATAGAATAGAACAGAACAGAAAGAAACAGTGCACCTCCTCGTTTGATTTTTAAAGTCCTCAGTACATCGACACAAAGGTCAAGCCATTATTAAACAGTCAGCATCCCACAGCAAGAACGCACTTAAAAATTTACCCTAAAATGCACCAGCTTCATGCACAGATGGGTTTTAATGAGCGGACCAAAATGGAAATGAACACACCCACACAGGCAGGATGGCATTTAATAGAAACATGCAGCAAACAAAGAAGCGCACACTGATGTGTTCAATGACAGTGGGACACATCATGCACACCAAGCTACAGGTCCAATCACAGCAACATTTCATTGTTGAACAGTTTACTCCACAGCACTGCATCGACTAACAGCTTTGCCGATCATAATTTTTCACAGAGAAACAATCATTCTGACAGTTCAAGTATTTAGAACCAGGATCGTTTGAACAGTTCAGCTGCAAATAGCTATTATTTTTTCTAGACAGCTAACTAATTATTGTGCCAATATAATGTCAACAAACACAGCTGGAGTTATCGTTTTTGGTTTGCAGGGTTTGTCAAAAGTCTGAAAATCTCATTTGTGGCAAACAACAAAATCAAATTTAAAAAGCTGATGAACTATATCAAATGCTGCAGATTGAAAGAGTTTACTCCAGTAGTTTTCATATTGGTATGTCATTTTGAAATGCGGGTCTACACTTAATGTAAACAAAGCACTCAACTGAA